TGTCGGCGATTCCCTCAGATCGCGTCTTTGATAATTCCCACTGCGTGATTGTCACTCGCGTGAACGAGCACCGATTTGCCTCCGATTTCGGGCATTTGTCGGCGATTTCGCAAAACCTGTCGGCGAGTGAAAAATCGGGCTAAAATCGTGCAGCGTGAACTCGGCATAACCCTAATTAAACACATCTGAGTCCGCTAATTCAGGATTCATTTCTTAGAGGGCATTGATTTACACAACCCATTTTCAACTAAATATGGAAACTTTTTTATGCGTTTTGGCCATTTATTTACACAACAGCATTTTGGCGGTCTGAAAACACAAACTTTTGAAAAAAGGTTTCAAATTACACGTTTTTGAAAATTATGCTGTTATCATCTCTGTGTAAACTATGGAAAACACAAATTTGTGAAAACGTTGACGTTATGCACATGCATATTACCTGTTCAGTTTATAGGATACATATGTGCGCAGCCAAAGTGACGTGGCCAACTCTTGGCCTGGCATGCGTAATACAGCATTTTTAGTAGTTTTTGCTGATCTATGTGTACAGGGATTGTTTTGAACTTGAAAATTTTTCAGAAACGTAAAGGAAAAAACTGTTTTTAGTACCGTATTGGCCCGAATATAAGACGACCGCGTTTTTTCAGATGTATTTCCAAGAAAAAAATATCGTCTTATATTCGGGACAATACGGTACATAGTCCTTAGTCTTCCTGGCAAGTATGATGGAGCTGGATGCAGCTCAGATCTGCAGGATGTCGGACCTCCAGGAGCAGGATTGGACACCCCATGTCCTACTCTGTAAACATGTTTTGCCAGTCATAGCTAATATACATGGATCAGTAAAGTACATCCTATTCAAATGAATTGCGCAATAATAATCAGTTCACAGTTGTCCAGGCTTACTCAGATCCCTTTAAGAACCTGTAAGATTTAGGATATATCTGAACATGTTCCCCTACTTATTTGACCTCCTCCCCCCCAAAACTTTCTGAGATTCAAAGGGGTTTTGTTTGGTTTCCTCTGCCTCATCCTGAACCACTGCTCTTTGTATGTGTAGCCATAAACTTCACATGAATCATAAACATAACACTTGACCTGTGCATCTGAACATTCTGCAAAAAGCTGAAAACACTGAAAAATCATATCTTTTCTCCTTCCAGTGCTGCAGAATGACTAAATTACTCTGTTTCTCATTAGCAAAACACCCATTATGATTGACTACAGCCTCTTTCTTGTAAATAACATACCATGTAGGCCTTAAATGTTTGTTTGTTGTCCATAGAGCAAAGGTCTTCTTTTGATGCCTTCCAAAGATATGAGATATCAGATGTCAGCCTAATTTAAGAGTAACACAAAAACTATGAGCCATCTGCTCTACCTTATAGTGTTGTTTACAATTCTTTATTTAGGAAAAATAGTTTAAACTCACTTTCTTATACTGATAATAACTTGATTTTCTCAAACTATCTTCCTGTAGATTACAGATCATAAAATCCCTGGCACCATAATAAATATTTTTATAACTGTAAAAAAGGCAAAAGGCAGATCAGTAGAGCAGTTCATTATTTGCTGTGCTAGTGTTTTGCTATACTAGCGGTTTATTATGTAGAAGTATAATACACATCTTTTGATAGATGACATCACTGACATGTTGAGGGTTTCAGGAAAGGAAGCGGCTTAATTTTAAGAACGTGAAACTTAGACACTGTAACAGAATATAGTTACAACCTTTGTTAAAGGGATAGTTAACCAGTGTGTGTTGTGACTGGTTAGCTGGGCCAGTGTGTGCTGTGATTGGCAGGACTCGGCACCTGGTTGGGAAATGTCACGCACCTTACCATAGCCGCCTGCAAGCTTCAGTGTAAATATTGCGTCAAAATCAAATCAATTTGAGCGCGATTTAAACCCGGATGATTGAAACCACTCTAAGTTCGTCTGCCTTGGGAAAGCTAGCGTGTATCTGACATAGTGATAACACTTGTTGCCTTCTCTAGTGCAGCTCAACCAGGTCTCGTCCCATTCGGCTTTTGATATCACAAATCCCGGAAAATATGCGTTGTAGTCCAAACGAGTCGTTCGTTGTAGTTTTTGAAAAGTGATTTATGTTAAATAAAATATCTCCTTTTGAATTGGACTTTGAGCTTTGTAACTTTGCAGATCTTTTTTATGCTCAAACAGCAACATTACAGACTAAAAAGTGAAAAAGCATAATATAATTGCTTATACGTTATGTCGTTGCGTAATTACATAAATGAACTGGTGAATCAGTTATTTATCAAGTAGAACCAGTTCATAGAAAAGAATTGGACCTCCCTGTTTACCTGAGGGTTACAGCTTATAATGTTGTAAATAATGATCAGTTTTCTTGCATAGAATGGTTGTTTCGCTTCATAAGACCTCAATGTATTGTCAGGATATATTATTAGATTGTCAATTTTTTGACTCTTAAAGTACCGGTAGCATTTACTCACATTTTACAAATCACCAAGGACCACACTTTCAGCTAAAAATTGCCTTTAGGCCTACTTGTTCTACTTTAGAAAAAAAAAATCACCTACATCTTGGATGGCCTGAGGTGAGTAAATTACAGCAAATTAGCTTTTTGGGCGAACTATCCGTTTAAAAGTTTTGGTCTGGCCCTTATTAGTCCTGTACATCAGCTGTGTTAAACTAGTTGGACAGGAGTAGCATGTATTGTAAACTGATAATGAATCAAAAAAAAACTTGGGCATGTAGATGCGTCATTGTGTTCTTGTTTGTTGGCAAGTTAGTTGGAGGACCTGAGATACACAAAGGGTGTATTTTGAAAATGAATTTACTGCTCAGTCAAGGTTAATACAGCCCAAATACTTAGTGCATGTTTTCTTAGTTTTCATTGCATTGGGTCGGTCTTTTTGAGTGAAATGTATAAAAACAAATGTGTTTGAGCCACTCTTTGTTCAGAGAAATCTCAGTTAAATGAGTGTTGAACAGTTGCCTAAACTTTGACATCACCCCCCACAGTGATGTTTTTCAGGCCCAACAAAACAGCATCAGCCGACAAAACCAACCAATGTTTGATCCTGTTCTCAGTCTGCCTCCATTGAATAAGAGATTAGAGAGTCCATTTAGTCTTTCTTTGTGTGGATCAGGAATGTCTGGCAGAGTAAAATCTAACTCACACAGTCATAAATTACATACTAAATGGCTGTTTAATCCTAATTTTGTACATTATGTACAGTAACAGCATCTGCTTGAAGAATAATACGTTTAACGATTGCTAAATCAATTCATAAAAAATTGTAAAATCGGCTAATAACCTACATGGTAACAATAAATCTCTTTCATCCCTAATTTACAGTGTACTGCTGATAAGTGTATTAGGAATTTGGCTAAAGTCGTCTCTTTAAAAGACTTATTTATATTTTGATTCATACTGTTTGGCTTTTATCATTAACTCTGATGTTTTGTCTTTTAACAGGATTTGAGCACATTCACATCCTCTCTTATGGATGGAGAGACGGACAGAGCAGATAAAGATGAAATGCGCAAGGTAAGATGCACAGAATAGCTATCTTTTACCAGATTTTCAGAATTTGTGCACATTTAGACTGATTTATGATCATCGAGTTTGTCCATATTACATTTCCATATACGAAATTGTCATATGACGTAAAAACATATATGAACCCTATTAGAAAAATTTCAGAGATCTAAATCCATTCCATTCTAAATCCCGTCAAAACACTTTGATGTTATACAAGTCAATATAAAATATATTACAAAACCATAAATAAACATGCCGATTTTTTTCTATATAAACATATTTTGTTTTAATAAAGTTGCATATATAAATACAATTTCTATTGTTGACATATACACTCACCGGCCACTTTATTAGGTACACCTGTTCAATTGCTTGGTAACACAAATTGCTAATCAGCCAATCACATGGCAGCAACTCAATGCATTTAGGCATCTAGATGTGGTGAAGACGACTTGCTGAAGGTCAAACCGAGCATCAGAATGGGGAAGAAAGGGGATTTAAGTGACTTTGAACGTGGAATGGTTGTTGGTGCCAGACGGGCTGGTCTGAGTATTTCAAAAACTGCTGATCTACTGGGATTTTCACGCACAACCATCTCTAGGGTTTACAGAGAATGGTACGAAAAAGAGAAAATATCCAGTGAGCGGCAGTTGTGTGGACGAAAATGCCTTGTTGATGTCAGAGGTCAGAGGAGAATGGGCAGACTGGTTAGAGATGATAGAAAGGCAACAGTAACTCAAATAACCACTCGTTACAACCAAGGTATGCAGAATAGCATCTCTGAACGCACAACACGTCGAACCCTGAAGCAGATGGGCTACAGCAGCAGAAGACCACACCGGGTGCCGCTCCTGTCAGCTAAGAACAGGAAACAGAGGCTACAATTCGCACAGGCTCACCAAAATTGGACAATAGAAGATTGGAAAAGCATTGCCTGGTCTGATGAGTCTCGATTTCTGCTGCGACATTCAGATGGTAGGGTCAGAATTTGGCGTAAAGAACATGAAAGCATGGATCTATCCTGTTTTGTCTCAACGGTTCAGGCTGGTGGTGGTGGTGTAATGGTGTGGGGGATATTTTCTTGGCACACTTTGGGCCCCTTCGTACCAATTGAGCATCGTTTAAACGCCACAGCCTACCTGAGTATTGTTGCTGACCGTGTCCATCCCTTTATGACGACCGTGTACCCATCTTCTGATGGCTACTTCCAGCAGGATAATGCACCATGTCACAAAGCTCAAATCATCTCAGACTGGTTTCTTGAACATGACAATGAGTTCACTTTACTCAGATGGCCTCCACAGTCACCAGATCTCAATCCAATAGAGCACCTTTGGGATGTGGTGGAACGGGAGATTCGCATCATGAATGTGAAGCCGACAAATCATGTCAACATGGACCAGAATCTCTGAGGAATGTTTCCAACACCTTGTTGAATCTATGCCACGAAGAATTAAGGCAGTTTTGAAGGCAAAAGGGGGTCCAACCCGGTACTAGCAAGGTGTACCTAATAAAGTGGCCAGTGAGTGTATGTTTGCTACATATAATACCATAAAAATGAATCCTATAGATATTATTAAGATGAGAATGTATGTGTGTGAAAATTATATATGGCCTATAGATAAGATATATGGCAATATAAAGGGTAATATCTGTCATATATTACATTTCCGTGTGCAGAGCGTTCCAAATCAGTCACTTCAGTTCCATTTCAGTTAGCATGCTTCCTTATAAAGCCTCTACCTACTGCATGTGGACAGTACTGTAGAGCAGGATTAGCTCACTAGGTTTTGGAGCAGAGCCTTTGCATGTGTGGTTTGAAGGAATGATGTGTGGATTGTTACACCATAGGTTATATTACACAGAAATAGAGCCGACTTGTCTAAACATGCACTTATTGCTCATAAGGTTTGTTAGTAAAGAGAAGAGTGGGAGTGTGCTGCCTGTACTATTCTGTGGTTGGGTTGGCTCATAAACGTTGCTCATGAATAAAAGCCGAGGCAAAATTTCTTTGCACATGCTGTTCTTTCAATTTCAGACTCAACAATTGTAATGCTTTCTTTACGGGTGAGGATTTTGCACAGAAAGGGAAAAAACGATGGCAGGAATTTAATGGAAGGAAACTTAGTCCTGCATGTGCCAGGATTTCTAATTGAATTGTATAAATGGCAGGATTTGTTAAATGAAGCAATTGGTCAGAGTGAAACAGTCGTCCCATGCACAAGTAGTTCTGTGTTATTTATTGCCATATTACAGCTAACTCTAATGGCTTTTATATTTATTTGCCTTGTTGCTGTGAAGCGTGTCTAATATTATACTTGAATTAAATGTGCCAAGTTATACAGTGCCTATAAAAAATGATGCACCCCCTTGGATGTTTTTACTGGTTTACAACATTTAATATATATATATATATATATATATCTTACCCACTCAGAGCTAAGCTGGAAGGCGACGCCTACCTTTCCTCTTGTAATCAAAGCCAAATAAAGCTGGGCCAATGAAAACAGCCTGAAGCAACAGCAGCCTAGTGAATGGGCACATTAACAAATAAACAATCTAAGTGTTTGCCAAAGAGTTGAAGGTCAGTGCTTTGAAATACTAACTTTTAGGGCACTAGGCTTACTGCATGTTTCACTTCAAACTGTCCATTGTGCAATGAGTTATGAGAAAACATAGCTTGCTCTCTGGTGTGGCTTTGTGTACTAAGATCAGCCACACAAAACAGTGACACTCTTCAATAGTTTTTATGAGACTGTCAAACAGTCTAACTGAACTGTGAAAAAGAACTAACAATATTTGTGAAATAAAGTTACCAAAGTATAGTTAATAATTTAATATATAGTTAATAACGAGTCATTTCACTACAAATCTTTACAGGATTGTTGTATTTTTAACTGAGGTCACTGTTTATAAGCCTTGAGGTAATCTCTTCTTAATGCTTGTTGAAAATATTTCTCTGTCAGCATGTGATGTGCAATGTTTTGGCTTTGTCTTGCTTTATCAAGTAGTATGCTGATGTAGTAACATTCTCATCCTGTTTCACCCCGTTATGATCACATCGATACACTAAAATACACTTTTTTTCTGACATTGCAAGGCTGATTCTGCCTGATTCAAAAATCTTGAAGTTCAAACCGAATGGCCAGATGAGGCTGATGTATCAGGAGATTCTGTGGCCATTAGTGAGCTGGAGATATCATGCTTACTCTTATCGAATCAGCTGACTGTGTTAATGTAATTTCCTGTATATTTTGCCTACTGTTAAGCTTCACCCTCTCAGTTACTGTTCAGACAAGCTTTTTAGAACATTCCAGAACGTTCCAGAAGCAAAAATGCCATTCATTTTCTCTATAGGTCTCTGAGGTTGTTAAATCGATGGTATATGCTTTTGTTGAAGCCATCAGTTAGCATTTTTAAAACTTGTTTTAAATACGTGTTTAACAGCAGAATGTCTAGTGAAAATCTACATTAAAGGGGTCATATGATGCGATTTCAATAAGATGCTGACATGGCATTAAATAAAAATATACTACTACATTAATGTTGTATAGAAAATTGCAATCGTTGCAGCGAGCAAATTGTGCCAAACGAGTGCGGAGCTCCGCCCACTTCCATGAGGCACAGCATATGAAGACGGTCTCCCCACGCTTTCAAAATGCTTAAATATTTGAATATATATGCATATTTTGCAATAAACATAAAATATATTGTTTCTATATATACAATTAACAATTTAAAGCAAAATGCTGTTATCCCAAAATATGGCAGATAAAAGATTTTGTTGCACGGTCATCTCATTGTAGCCCATCTAAGAATAATATCCTTTCAATTTGTAACTTTTTATAAGCGCATGAAGAGAAAATCATGCTGTGTTCAGGATTGCTCAGTGACGGTTTAATGGTCAGTTGTTTATGTTAAATTACAAATGGCTCAGAATTCTTATCATTGTATGGTCACAGAATTTGGCAAGGGAAATGATCTAACATCAGCAGAAATGAAAGTAGATCTACGGATCTACGTGAAATGTTTCTCTTATAACTTCAACAACTACCCTAGAAGTCTAAAACACATCTTGACTTTTTTCTCTCAGGGTGACAGAAGTGAGTCAGCTAGCCCATGTTTGAAGCCTCCTGCCAGTCAACCCTGTACCCCATCTTCAGCCTCCGTATGTCCCAGGACCAGTCCAGGCACTCCTAAAACCATCTTCCCACGTCCACTATCATCTCACCAGGACTCACCTCCTAAATCTCCCCGCCGTCTCAGTTTCAGTGGTATCTTCCGCTCCTCGTCCAGCTCAGCCCCTGCCAGCATCAAGCTCTTCTCCAAATCTAGAAAAGGTGAGATACAAGTCTGTTCATTTAATATTTTCAGTTGATTTCATCCCATGTTCTTTTCCTTTGACAGAAAATACTGCATATTTCAAGCTTGGTGATTAATGAAGTGGTTATTGAAGTATAATGTCCTAGTTCAGGTTACTTTGTTGATTCTGAGCCATAATATAATATAATATAATATAATTAGTGCTGTCAAACGATTAATTGCGATTAATCGCATCCAAAATAAAAGTTTTTGTTTACATAATATGTGTGCTTACTGTATATATTTTATATATATATAAATACACACACATGCATGTATATATTTCAGAAAAATGTTTATGTATTAAATATATTTATATACAATATAAATTATATGAATATAAATATAGACATGTAAATACATGTAAATATTTTCAAAATATATATTGTATGTGTGTGTATTTATATATACATAATAAATATACACAGAACACACACATATATTATGCAAACAAAACCTTTATTTTGGATGCGATTAATCGCGATTAATCGTTTGACAGCACTAAATATAATATATGCTATACGTAATGAAATATTACGTTTATACATATATAAATATTAATAAAAATGACTGCACAGTGATATACACTAGCACGTGTTTTGTGTCTTAGCTGTTTTTGTATTTTGTGTTATGTATTTTAATATGGCAAGATGCCAATTTGACCAATAAGCATCTAGGACCTGAACTATAAACTATCAACTTAGATCAAATAGATAATCATTTCTATTTATGTTCTACCCTATTCTACCCTCATGAAATATATCACATTATGACCGGTTTATGAGGACTTGAAGTACTATATAAAGTATTTTGATCCCAGTTTCATCAAAGCATGCTGTAGATTAAGACACCGTTTAATATATATTAAAAAAACAATTCCAGCACGGTGAGAATTAATTCAGCGACCTTCTATAACTAGTCAGTTTTCTCCGTTTTCACTGATTGCAGATCTGTTTTGTATCTTCTCTTTTGTTATAATGGTTTTGGGGGAAGCTGATCAGTGTAGCACAGAGTTTGACTTCCTGTTGACTCGCTTTCAAAACATCAGAACAGGAAGTGGTAAGATCATGATTTGGGTTTTTAGCCTTTGATTTTCTAATGACTAAAACCATTAGAGCACATGCTATTAGGCCAAATTGTGCAGATCTAATGTGGCCATTAAGCAGTTTCAAAGATAATGAGCCCACATCAGTGTTTCTTCAGTCAGAGTCAAGTGGTGGCTTGGAAATGACTTGAGTGAGGGCTTGTTACAGGATTTTCAGGTCAGTCTCAGACTCACAGTCCATTTGCTGATTTTATGCAAGAGGAATGCTAAGAGAATCAAGTTTTCAGTATCGTAATGAAACAACTCCTGAATCATCTTTATGTAAAAGCAGTTTTGTTTGGTTTGTATCATAACATATCATACTAATATAAATAGTCACAGATTTATTGTATTTCTGTTTTGTAAAATTAAGAAATATGCTAGCTAGGGCTGCACAATTAATCGAATTTCTAATCGCAATTACAATTATGGATGTCACAATTACGTAATCGTTCAAAGCGGCAATTAATCGTTCAAAGTCCGCTTATGTTATTCTGCACGCTTAAGATATGTTTTTTTCTTTCTACATGTTATCTTAAGGGTTTTTCCATTGTTTTAGTTTTAGTATAACATTATAATACCATTCATATTTTTACTTTTTTTTATCATTTAAAGAAGAAAGCAATCCGATGTATATTTGACATTTGAGGCTTAATACTATAGAAAAGCACTAAAGGTTTTTCAGTTAGTGTTTTCAGCTTGTTTATTTTCATATAAAAATACGGCATGCAGTTGCATCAAACAATGGTATAAACATGATTCAATGTAAATTGTGATAATCGTAATTAATAATCGCAATTACAATTTAAAGGAAATAATCGACAATTATGATTTTTGTCATAATCGTGCAGCCCTAATGCTAGCTGTACTGTAAATACAGCATCCTAAAAAGTTTTGAAATCATCATTGCATTTATTTTCATTCTTCATTAGCTTCTTGCCTAGTTCAGGTTGTCAGTGACAGGATTTGTTTTTTTACACAGCTTTAAAGTGTGCACTATAGCCAGAAATGAATATCCTGTCATTATTTACTCAGGTCTTAGCAAACTTGTATGACGTTCTTTTTTCTGTGGAACATAAAAGAAGATATTATGAACAAGGTGCTTTTTGTCGATAGAATGGAAAATAATGGGGTCCAATGTTTTCCACAGTGTTATTCAAAATATCTTATATTCAGCAGAGGAAAGAAATTCATACAGGTTGTGAGTACGTGAGGGTGAGTAAATAATGACAGGATTTTCATGTTTTGGTGCACTGTCACTTTAAGAGTCATTTTGAATATCTTGCAGCTTTATGTAACTTACTTACATTTTTAATTCAGCAAACACTTTTATCCCAGAGTGACTTTAAATGTGAAAGTTGTTTGTCATAAGGAGACATTTGTTCTTGTGCTCTTTTATACACTCATTTGTACTACATCTTCTCAGTCTGGTTTCAAGTGCTTGTTGTTTTGTTAGTTGTTTCATTCCAGAAATTGTGCTCATTTGGCTGATTAACAGAAGTGCTCAGTTTTCCTTGTGTCAGTTCCAAAATCTGCTGACAATCAATGAATACATGCCATTTTGGTTTCCACATCAAATTCAATTTACATAAGCGATTTTATATGCCCAGGAAGCAAAGTATATGCAAGTAAAGTGTCTACTTTAATGTTTCTAGTAACTTTTGTAAAAATAAAATGTCAAAAGTAAGGGTGAAATAATGTTCCAATGTTTATGTAAAAAATAAAACTACATACTTATTCTGACTTGTACTTATTAAAACATTTAAAAAGTGATCATACAAAATTTTATTATATTTTAAATGATTATTGCTGACAAATGAGTAAAGCCTAGTGGTTTGAAGGATAGTGGGAAAAGATTGGTAAAGATTTAAAATTAACTATAAATATATATATTTTTTAGGGCTGCACTGTGATCTTTAAATAGAGTCTTTTAATGTCATGTAATGATTCTGGTTCTAAATATTCCTGACAAGATTCTTTGGTATATAAACCATTGTTACACTAAATTACTTTTTTTTTTTTTTTTTCTGTAAATCATGGTAAATATGTATGATCGTCATTATTTTTGCTCAGAAAAAAAATAATATTAAACAGGACACATTCTGATGTACGGGGAAAAATGCTTGAAAACCCCTTTTCGTATTTGACACGTATATAGTAGTATATAAAAGTGATATTTTCATGGCAATAGCTCACAAAGTCACTACAAGCTTTGGTAGAAACACTTGTCTAGAAATTACAATTTTAATTTCTAACTGAAAAGTGTTCAAGGCATAACAATCTTTGTATTTTCTTAAGAAATATGGTGGTTAATAGTGTGCACACCCTCAAAAAAGAGCAGTGAGTCATTCTACCCTAATAGTACGAGGAGGTTTGTTTGTGTCAGTGAGAAGAATATTCCAGAAATCCATCCAGCGTCAGAGACGGCAGTGGGAAGACCGAGTGCCTGTTACTGTGTGCCATACTGAGCCAAAACTAATGTACCTAAACATTTCTGGCCACGTTTCCAGATTGTTCTCCAATAAGAGGTCTCTTCCGAAGTCTGTTTCCTTTGCCTCAATTTGCCAAAAGGTCACAGGAAGTGACCTCCTTCATTGACAAAAAGCTTTAGCAATTTTAAATTGCAAAGAGATCATTTCAAAGAGTCTTTTCATGGACTCATGCTGATAATTGTGGTGGCATATTGAGGCTTTATGTAATATGTCTTTGTGCACTTTATTTGAATAATATGAAACCTGAGCTGCTGCATGCACTGAGATAACCTAATCCCACGTCATATCATCTGTTTGACCAGCTCCACTTCTGTTTAATCATATAATTTACACTATAGTGGAGAAATTCATTCTGGCCTGCACTCACTTTAGAGGCTGACCCTGAAACGTGTTTCAGCGTTCTCCTTCACTTCCCACCAGGAGGCACTGTGAGTCAAACAATCATATTATATCATATTATATCATATATATACCAGTTAGAAGGCTAAGATTATTTATACTTCAAAGTACATGGAAAACTCTAGCTATTTTTATAGAAGCTGCATAACATTTGGTGTGCATCACCTATTATGTGTAAAAGAACATTGCAGCTTTGATTACACCCAGTTGTGTTGTATATTGTAGCAAGACAGACACTGATCCCATGGAATAAATATGGTCTGTTTTGTTTGTCCACTGAATCTTCAGTTAAGTTTCACTCTGAACATGTATAGAAGGCTTTATTCTCTTTGGATGGGATTGATGCAGTCTGAGGCCAGGTGTAAACACCAGGAATCGGACACCAGAGAGACACGGGGCTCTTGGCATCGGCACTTTTATAGGTCACTGCTGGAAAGTTTCTGTATTATTGTCTGCCCTTGAAGAGAAGGCAGTTCTGAACAATCGGGAGGAAAACTGCAGAAGTGCACAAATGGATCATTTTCAGATAGAATCCAGATTCTAAGGGTGTGTTCACACCTGTAGTTTGGTTCTCTTAGTTCTTTTGGTCTGGACCAAAAAAAAAAAAATTATACATTTAGTCCTGCTTGCGACAGAAAGATAGAGATGGCGGATAAAAAACAAAAGAGGAAACCTTCTGCAGAACAAAAGAAGGCTTAAGGCATTTCTTCTCGATAGGTGAGTAACACCGTGTCTGCGCCCCAACAGCTAAAGTCTGTCTAGTACACTGGATGCTACAAAGCGACCGTTGAAAATCATTTGAAATTTGTGTCAATATGTCATGAATAGAACGCAGCAGCAGTTCCCTTTCGATACTTCACTCGTACTGCGTCTGCTTAAGACGCATATGGGAAAAAAGCCTTTTTTCTCCTGAACTGAAGCCTTTTCATTCACGCAGTGAAACTGCACGGCCATTGGTTCGTGGCAGATCAAAGCGAAACGCGGGCAGCTTCGCATTTCTGTG